ATATATATTGCAATGAAGTTTGTATCTGAGTGGCAGCTGGATCACACATTGGCCTCAACACTTTAACAGTTTAAAGCCAACAGTCTGAGATTTTTATGTTTTTTGAGTTAAATCTTCAAGTGAATCCATTACCCTCCTCTATTTTTAGAAGAGATTAGAGATTGACATGAGAGTGAAGATTTAAGATTGGCTGGGCCCCCTGGGACTTTCTTGTTTTTGAGTGACAATTCATAGGAGGGCAAACATAAGAGCATGAAAAGGTTAACTCTAACAGTAACAAATACACACCGATGTACTTGTACGGCTTGCCCTGTTTGACGAGCTGCGTGAGGCAGCGCTCCACGATGTTCGCCGTCCACTTGTTCACCTGACTCTGGCTGTAGTCTCCGCCGCCCACGACGTTCTCAATGCACTGACACAAACACAGAGAAACGGCATCACAGCGCTCAGAGTCATGTGTTAGTCAGCCGGTGTTGCTGGCGCCCGAGGAGACTGAGACAAAGAGGCAGTGAGTGCAGCTTGTTTCTGAAGGTTTTTCCGAGGTTTTAAAGATACTTTTTTATTATCTTGAATTTTCCCAGGAGCACAGAAAAACTACGCAAGCTTAGCAATGAAACACAAATCAAAAAGCTTTAAATTATGTGCAAAAATGAATGACGCGTAAAAGTTACATTTAAAAATAGGAGTGTATTTGAGCTGTTTACATGGCTAGATTTAATTATTAATCTTTAGTCAATCAAACTAAACCGTTTACTACACAATCGAAGCATCTCTCCATAACAACCTGCTGTTGAAACTTCTATTTTTATGACTTAATACTTGGGAAAAATGTTAAATGTGCTTTTATTTTACTCCCCAAAGAACAAAATCAGTGTTTGTTTAATAAAGACCTGAAAAACATGACGACACTGTGGCGCAAAATGGGTTAAGACATTAAAGGGATTTATAACGCTGCATATAAAAGTAAACCTTACTTCTTTGACTATGGTGTCAGCTTCTTCTGCATTGAATGAGCCCTAAAATAGAGAAAGCAGATCATCAGGTCATAATAAAGATAACATGACAGGACTTTAGTTAGATAAACATACGTTTATGGAAAAATGCTAAAGTGACCCTTAGGATCCCTTTAGCAACACTTTTTAGCAACAGATTTAACCTTATTGGAGCACGTAAACGTTTATTTTTAACAACACATTAAGCAGTAAAAGCAACAGCAGCTTATTTTGAATATTATAAATTATATTTATTGATTTTAGGACGTTTGCATTAAAAAAAATCGCCGTTATCACTGGGAGTGGCTAGCTAGCTCATTTCTGCTGTCACTGGTGAAAACAGTGAATTCGGATCAGGACTAACCTCGCTTCCGTTATGAAATTCCTCCATTCCTCCTGTCATCTGACACCGGCTAGGGCTGCTTTTTTTCTTACTGACAGAAGAAAAAACAAAGCCAGAAAAACCTTTTGTTCACAGATAAAGCGACAGGAGCTCTTAGGGACTTCCGGAGGAGCTGTCAGCGGAGTCAACGACGCACGAAAAGAGCGATCCGAACCCGGAGGGAGTACCGGTGCTTAGCTGACCGCTGACCCCTAATGGAGGCTCAGTGAAATACAGCCTTGAGACAGAAATACAGATTGCCTAAATTAAAAATGTACATGCTTGACAAGGTACAGCAGATTGAATTTGGAAGAATGTGAATGCATTGAAGGAACATTTCTGTCAGAAATGTTTTTTTGTTTGTTTGTTTTTTTAATGAGATCACTTTTATTTGTTGAGTATCTGAGGCTGAGACCACGGGACTGTAAAAACATGATTGTTGGGCTCCATTTCTTTACTGAAGAGTCATTTTAAGATTAATTAGTAAATAACAATTAGCTAATACTGTTCATGAGACTAGTCATCTTACTTTGGTAATGTAAATATAATATGGCCAATATTATATGTATTATTATTATTATTATTATTATTATTATTAT